CTTAACGGGTTAATGGATTATCCGTTAAGAAAATTGAATAATCCGCCCCCAAACCGATAAGTCATTAATAAAAAAAATTCAATCTGTTCTCCGTCCGTTACGATAACCTGATACCAATAAGCCATTAAGCTTCGGTTTTGGTTCGATTTCGGTTTCGGTTCGGTTTTGAACCCCTCTACTCTAAACTGACCAAGGAATTGCAGTGTCTTGTGGCATCCTGACTTCTGTATCTTCCAGGATTTTTACAGTGGTCAGGTGAAGGGGATCGGTAAGGAGGATTAGGGACTGTACCTACTGCAAGGAAAGTCATTACTAAGTGGTATACTTAATCATGATCCAGCTCAACTAAGGAATAAAACTCATCAACAAGTATCTGAGGTGAAATATGTACATAAAACTACTATGTCTGGGAATAAGTTTGCTTGTATGGCTAATCAATACTCTGATTCTAGTGTAATCTGGCATAGAAGGCTAGGTCATGCACCTATAGATGTAATCAAGAAGTATACATCATTGAGAAACCTGAAGGACAATCACACTCACTATACTGTATGTCCTCTAGCCAAGCAAGCAAAGTTACCTTACAAAATGAGTACTACTACTTCTAATACTGTTTTTGAACTATTACATTTTGATGTATGGGGGCCCTATAGGGTACCAACATATGACAGTAAAATATTCTTTGTTACTATTGTGGATGACTATTCTAGGTTTACCTGGATTTTCTTACTTGTCTCTAAGTCTGATACAGTGGTTATTCTGAAAGATTTCCTAACAAAGGCGAAGAATATGTTCTCTGCATCAGTTAAGACTCTTAGAACTGATAATGGTACTGAGTTCTTTAATCATGAAGTACACAATCTATTGTCATCCATGGGCATTATTCATCAAAGTACCTGCACTTATACACCTCAGCAGAATGGAGTTATTGAAAGGAGACACAGGACAATTTTAAAGATGGCCAGAGCTCTGAGATTCCAGGCTGCTATTCCTTTGAAATTCTGGGGAGAGTGTATATCTACTGTTGTTTATTTGATCAACAGACTTCCCTCAAGAGTTATTGGTGGAAAATCTCATTTTGAGATACTTTATTTGCATGCTCCATCTCTCTCCCACCTCAGAGTGTTTGGTTGTTTGTGCTATGCAACCTCACCCAAGGAACTGGACAAGTTTGCTTCAAGAGCAATACCTTGAGCATTTCTAGGCTATTCTTCAACTCAGAAGGGCTATAAGGTCTATGATCTACACTCAAAAACCTTTAGTGTAAGTAGAAATGTGATATTTAAAGAACACATTTTCCTTTTAAACACCTACAAACCACAGGCACTCCCATGTTTCCTGTTTTAGACCTGGTGCCTTTACCACAGAAGTGCAGTCTTTCCCTGAACCTTATGATCCTCCTTTGTCTCCTGCTTCATCTCAGAGTCCAACTATGGACACATTCCCAACTGATGCACCACATATTCCCCATCATTCAGAGAAACCTACTTCTTTAGGCTACTCTCCTTCTGCTGTTGAGCCTAGTGTTCCAGAGTCTTCACAGGCTCCTTCTATGAACCTTAGAAGATCATCAAGACCTAGCAAACCACCTTTGTGGCTACAAGATTATGTGACACAACCAGTCACATCTCATACCTATATATACCCTATTTTCTCATGTGTGTCTTGTGACACTCTCAAAGCAGCTCATACACGTGTTGTCTCATCCTACTCTTCTCTCACAGAACCAAAATCCTTCAGAGAAGCAGCTACAAACCCTAAGTGGATTCAAGTTATGAAACTTGAAACAGCTGCCCTAGAAGACAACCACGGAGTATTGTGGACTTACCTACACGCAAAACACCTATTGGGTGCAAATGGATTTTCAAGATAAAGTTCAAGGCTTCAGGGAAAGTTGAGAGGTGCAAGGCCAGGCTGGTAGCCAAAGGCTATAGCCAGAAAGAAGGCCTTGACTATACTGAAATATTTTCTCATGTTGCCAAGATGGTAACAATCATGACTATCATTGCCTTAGCAGCAGTTAAATAGTAGGTCATTTATCAGATGGATGAGCACAATGCCTTTCTCAATGGTGATCTCCTAGAAGAAATGTACATGCACATTCCTGATGGGTTTGCTAGACAGGGGGAGTCTCACAAGGTCTGCAAACTACACAAGGCCCTGTATGGGCTCAAACAAGCCCCAAGGCAATGGAACAAGAAACTAACTGAGGCTTTACTGCACATGGGATTTCAACAAAGCCACTTTGACTACTCTCTGTTCACCAAACAAAAGGGCAGTGACTTAGTTGTAGTGTTGGTTCATGTGGATGATCTACTAATCACATGCAATAATGTGGTGCTACTGAACTAGACAAAAGCAAATCTGTAGAGAAACTTTAAGATGAAAGATCTAGGTAATCTGAAGTTCTTTCTGGGCATTGACTTTGCTAGATCAAAAGAAGGTATAGTCATGTCTCAAAGAAAGTATGCCCTGGAACTCATCTCTGAGTCTGGGCTATGGGGAGCTAATCCTGCAGGCACACCCCTTGAGCTGAATCAGAAGCTAACTTCTGAGGAGTATGACAAGGCTATAGCAGGTGTAGGAAGTTCAGAAGCAACCGATGCAACACTTAAGGATCCATGCATTTATCAAAGGCTTTACTTAACTATGACTAGACCAGACCTGGCCTTTGTGGTTCAAGGCTTGAGTCAGTACATGCACAATCCTAAGGTGTCTCACATGGAATCAACTTTGAGAGTTGTAAGGTACATAAAAGGGGCTCTTGGGCTAGGACTCGTTATGCCAACACAGAATGCTTATCAGTTGTCTGTATATTGTGACTCTGACTGGGGTTCTTGCTTACAAACTAGAAGTTCAGTCACAGGTTATGTAGTTAAGTTTGGTGATGCATTGATCTCATGGAAATCAAAGAAATAGGAGAATGTGTCCAGAAGCTATGCAGAAGTTCAATTTAGAAGTATGGCATCATGCACTGCTGAGATAGTTTGGCTAATTGGTTTGTTCAAGGAACTTGAAATTCAGCTACACTCACCTGTGAAGCTTATGTGTGATAACAAAACTGCAATTCAAATTGCAGCTAATCCCATCTTCCATGAAAGAACCAAACATATTGATAGAGACTGTCATTTTATTCGAGAAAGAATACTGCAAGGGGTAATGAAAACTCAGCACGTGTCCACCAAGGAACAACTAGCAGATTTATTGGGAAAGACTCAGCATGACTACCTACAGGACAAGCTTGGAGTGAAGAACCTCTTCAAGCTGAAGGCTTGAAGGGGAGTGTTAAGAGAAATGGAACTATTAAACTATAGTTAGCTTAGGTGGTTAAGAGTAGAGTTAGCTATTCTTATTAGTTGGATTAGTTAGAAAGGTTGTTAGGAAGTTAGTAGCTAATTAGTAGTATAAACACACTGTAGATACTACTTTATAAGAACAATTCATTTTCTTCTCTTCTTCAATAAAACAGTAACTATGTTTTCTCTTGAGTTCCTTCTTAGCTTCCTCTCCACGTCAAGCTTTCAGTTAAGAGCTTCCATAGCCATGGAAGCTAACAGCAATCAACACCTCAAGTTAGTAATATTTTGTACAATCTGTTTATAACCAACATATTTGCTCAGACAAAGATCTCTGGCCAATTTCATACGCGCGCGCACACACAAAAAAAAAAAAAAAAAAAAAAAAAAGAGAGAAACCAGATTAGTCTTATCTTTATATAGTTTTTCGAACACAAATTTAAGTCCCTTCTAACCTGCATCTGACTAGAATTTGAAAAGGAAATTTTCAGGAATTACAGCATATGATGGCCTCGAGAGCTGCATACGGAACTGTCAGTCCTATGACAATGATAGTGCGACTAGTAGAGGTGATGGGGATGTTACAGATTCCTTAAATGATGATGACTCAAGGAGCTCTTCCAGCAACAATGCTTTTGAATCATTCTCCTCTCAATGGACAACGAAGAAGAGGGATGACCAGGGATCGTGTGACAATGGGAATTTCTATGTGAAAGGAAAACCTGCTTACACAATCCAATTTTCAGATGTGGAAACAATGAAAGACAAGTTTGCAAAATTGTTGCTTGGTGAGGATGTGACGGGTGGAAGCAATGGAGTTTCGACTGCATTAGCATTGTCTAATGCCATTATAAATCTTGCAGGTATTTAGTTGTTACTTCTTTATCCATCAATATCGTTTTAGAAAAATCTATGTATCTTTTCTCTGATGAAGTGACTCTAAATTCTAGTGTTATATCTTCTATAACTCAGAGTTGATTCACGCCAACTATTAACGATTTTAGTCTTCAATATTCTGATACTTAATAAGATTCTTATAGTAGTTTTTGAGGATCATCCAGGTCTTAATCCGTAGAATAGAGCTTCAATATGATATATGCGAGAAATTAGGAGTGCTGATGCCTAACAAGAGTGCTCAAGAAGTTCCATTCACCCATAATATAATTCAATGTTTTTTTTGAAAAATATGATTTGCTAGAGGATTTTATTAGTGAAGGTATCACAAGTTTACTCCTTTTTCTTCTCTAAAGTTTTTGTAATGAGGAGTTAAGTTTGATTTTCTCTCCTATATACTACCTTTGCTGAAAAGAATTGGCTGCCCAACTGCTTTACTAACAGCAATGGAGAGGATTCAAAGAACAAACAGGAGTACTAATTTCACTATACTTTGGAAAGATTTTTAAACAGCAGAATCATATTCTCCAGATTCTACTATAAACTACTCCGTAAGGAAGAAAAATAGCATAAGCTACCTCGTTCGTGCTCCTGCCTTTCCCACTGTCATCTTAAGATCATAGATTGTTTATTACTGACGCTATGGGATTAACCTGCGCTTTTGCGCCTTACCAGGATTAACTTTAACTTTACAATCTGAGATCTGATAAAAAATCGCATGATAACTTCAAAATAAAAAGCACTAGTATAGCGTTTAAAAGAATGTTACACCTCGTAACACATCAGCTCAGCTTCTCCTAAACCTTTATTGTTATATTTTCTACTTTGCTGTGATTTTCATGATGCAATTTTCCTGATCTGTGATGCTACTTCTGGATTTAAAGCATCTGTGTTTGGAGAGTTGTGGAAATTGGAGCCACTTGCAGAGGAAAGGAAGAGGAAATGGCAAAGGGAGATGGATTGGTTGCTCTCACCTACCAAACATATGATTGAGTTTGTTCCTGCAAAACAAAGTGGTTCTAATGGCCAGAGATTGGAGGTAACTATGACTTTCTAATAACACAAACGATTTATTTCATAATATAACAACAATATAGTGAGTTCCACTTCTCGTCCGAGCAGATAATGACACCAAAAGCTCGTGCAGACATCCATATGAATCTTCCAGCACTTCAGAAATTGGATTCCATGCTTCTTGTAGGTGGTCTCTTAAATCCTATAATGTTCGACCACTTTGTTTCTGCATCGACTTGGTCCACTTTCTCAAAGTTCCTTTCGATCTCAAATTGATAGGGAATGCTGGATTCAATGGATAATACTGAGTTTTGGTATACGGAAGTGAGTAGCCGAGCAGAAGAAAAGAGCACAAGGTGGTGCCTTCCTTCACCCAAGGTACCCATCGCTGGGCTCTCTGACACTGAAAGAAAGAAATTGCTGAATCAGGGAAAATTGGCCAATCAAATATTCAAGGCAGCAAAAGCTATTAATGAAAACATCTTAGCTGAAATGCCGGTTCCATCAGTTATCAAGGATGCACTTCCAAAGGCAAGTTCTCCCTAAAGCTATTTGCTATTGAGTTTAAGTTTTATTTACTTATAAGGTAATTACAAGTAAATCTCTTGATAAGCATTTATAACTAGGTATGGTCACATATATTAAACTACACTAATAGTGTAAAGGAAATTTACACAACGTATATAACTCAAATCCTTTGCTATTGAGTATTTAATTTGTTGAAATTGATCCATTCATTCTTGCAGTCTGGGAGGGAAAGCCTCGGCGAGGACCTTTATAGAATCCTGACCGCAGAATCAACCTCTGCTGAGGAAATGTTCAATTCCTTGAACTTGAGATCTGAAAACAGTGCACTTGAAGCTGTTAACAGGTTAGAGGGAGCAATTCTTGCATGGAAAGAAAGAATAACTGATCAAGCTCCAGTTCGAAGATCTTGGTCATTCGTAAAAGATCCAATATCTGAGCTAGACAAATTGGAGGTCTTATTGAGCCAAGCAGAAGCTCTTCTACAGCAGCTCAAAACTAAATATCCTAACCTTCCTCAGACATTCCTCAATGTCACAAAAATTCAGTATGGCACGGTGAGAATCGTATCGCCACTAGTAAAATTTGTTAAAAAGCAAATATGATTGTATAGTTCACTTATCAGCAGAAAAGTTTCTCTGTTTCAGTTAAGGACTCGTTTCAGCTTGTCATTTGCATAATCCATAAATCATCCAACAATAGAGGATAACTATATCTTTCCGGATAATTGTTTCACCCTTAAATTACCTTAAGATTTTGTATGTATCTCTTCTTCTATGATGTACGCGTCTGTTAAGAAAAAGTTATGCCATAACCAGGGGCGGAACCAGAATTTTTACACGAGGGGGCACATTATTCTGCTCAACCAGTACCCCCTAAAAGCTTTTAGTACTTAGGGTGCCAACTGCTTTAAATTAACCATTTTCAAGGTATACACATATACAAATACAGAATTTTCGGCCAAATTTTTCGGGGTCGGTGACCCCTCTCCATTACACATGGGTCCGCCTTTGGCCATAACAAAGTGCTCAATAAGATTGTGATATAATCCTTGTTCTTTCTGTATTATTCTAGGACATTGGGCATTTAATCATGGAAGCGTACTCTCGGGTTCTCTTAAACCTAGGGTACAGCATTTGGATCAGGATAGGAGAAATTTTGCAAGTAGATATCTCGAGCAACCCCAATTCATCCGCAGCTGCTTGCTGACTTCCTGCTACAAGAATCTCAGGATTATCAGACACTAGTCCTGTATGTAGTTGAGGTGAGACAGTCGCTGATCGAACAGACGAGTAGAGCTGCAGGATGATTGTTTTAGTAATGCTACTGATATGGACATTGAGTTTGTTGAAGAAATTATAAGTTCTGTACATGCAGCTCCAGGCCAAAGTCGAGTTCAGTCCATTGGCAGGGAAGCTTGTAGCAGCATGCATGTCTACTATGAATTCCCCTTAACAATGAGATTTTTTGCAAGTCTTTCTGTAGATATATATATCATTTCCATGCCAACCATCAGCCTTAGTTTTTAGGCTGAGTTATCATGGTTGTTTGGGGAATTTGCCCTCACCTACAAATACAATACAGTGGGAATAGAATAGCAAGCTTTTTACAAGCTAAGAATTAATTGCAAAAATATATGTATTGGTATCTGTATTGAGTAATTTTACCATAGCCAGTGCAAGAATTTAAAAGAATCAGAATTTTTTTATCCACAGTTAAGTATATATACCCAATGTGGCAATGTGCTTGTTCATTTTCCTACAGAGAGGGGAAAAGGTGTGGAGCCGTGGAGGTTACAAAGAGTTGGTTCTCCCTGGACTATCCGTAGGAAATCAATTCTGATAGGAAATGTTTTGCTCAATGATGTAAACTAAGAGTCCACCAAATTATATACTATAAAATTATCAGCTCCCACAGAACACATCAATAAGTAAATAACACAACAATATTTACTTGAAAAACTCCTAGCTTACGGGATTAAAAATCACGATCTACAATTGTAGGATTTCAACTACACTAACTGAGCAACTTTAGATAACAACGTATTGTAACCTAGGATTTAAACTATCAATCTCTCACCTACTTACAATAACTATATTGCAAGCCTCCTTGTAATAACTCTATTACAAAGCTAACCACTTGACTAACTCTAGTCAACACAACCACACAGTTTATGGTTTATAAAGTGTCCTACAAGATGCTTCTAGTTAAGCTGAGTAGGAGATACAAATGAATAACATAAACAAAGACACAACAATACTAATGACACACGATGTAATCAATGTTGGGATCTGGTAATTCGTTATGTTGCTGTTTGGTTTTTCAATGCCTTTGGGAAAGTGAAGGCGGCCGCACACTTGAGAGTAAATGATTTTAGGTTTTGCAAGTGTGTAATCTCTTGTCTCGTGTTGGTAATATATAAGTGAGTTCATCAAAAATGATGTAAGGGATAGTGTCCAGTATACAGCATGCTTCAACAATGTTGTTGTATTGTTGCGTGTGCAGTGCATCAGCTTTAACAACTGTAAGAGTTGACTTATATTGTGACCAGAGGAACTGATATCTATCTGTTCCTTCTCCTGTTCCCTTAACTTATTTCATTGAACTTGTGCCAGACATTTGGTTTTATTGTTATGAACGCGGAGAGGCTAGTTGTATCAGATTCCCTATTTGCTTCTCATATAAAATTTGTTAAATCATGGGGGGGGGGGGGGGG